TGCCCCACGCGACCACGTCCGGTTGGAATCCACGCTCTGTGCTGGGCTGCATGAGCGTGAGCGTCTTCCACAGGATCGTCAACGACTGTCCGGTGTAATCCGAATGCTGGTTGAGGACGGCGATGAGGACTCGTAGCGGCGATTCCAGCTTTCTTTGCCACTGAGGGCTGCACGGGCTTACTCGGACGTGCTTGCCGGTAAGCGGTGTGGTCTCATTGGAGTAGATTGGCGTGCCTCCTGTGCCTCCATACCTTTCCAGAAAGGAAGCACGGAGGTCAAAACTCTTGAACGTCAAGAGTGTCATGCTGGACCACCACTCCTGGCCCTGCGGTATGGTCACGGGGTCGACCGAGAAGACGTTGAACCACCTCGCTGTCTGCTCGGCGGTGTGGTCATCTATATTTCCACGAATTTCCAGAAAATTGCGGATCTTGGGCACCTGTTGCAGCATCCACGAGAGCTGGAATTCTCTGGCCTGCGGCGACATGCCTTGGGGCCATCCACTGGTGATGATTTGCAGGGCGCAAGCCTGCTTTTGCTGCTGGCGGTTGTCTGCCGCCATCCACATGAGCTCCTGGCGAGTCACGAACAACTCGTCCCCCACTTTTCCCAAAGCTGTTTCTAGCTGTAGGACAAGATGATACATCTCGGGTCTGATGACCTTGGCGTGGTAGTTCCGAACCAGCTGAAGCACTTCCTTATTGGTTGTTGCTGGCTTGGCCAGCCACGCCTCCACTTCAGACTGCTGGTTGATGTTCACGCCGTACTCCGCTGCGACCAGTTGGCTGGCGGTGTGGTCTTCATATGACCACGGTTGCACCAAGGTTGGTCCAGTGAGGTCCGGTGTGGTCTCTTGTGGCGTTGCTGCCGAGCTTGCCACAGGAGTTGGAGGGCCTCTCTTGTTGCGGGTAATGTCCTGCCAGTAAATCTCCTGCACAGCCGCGACTGCAGGAGCCTGGGTCATCATCCGCTGCTGCTGGAACACGTGCACCATCTGCGGTGTCTCTTGTTCTGCCATGGCCTTCCCTTAAGGAGGGCGGTGTGGTCGCAGAAAGGAGCGACAACAACAACTAGGGGGCGTGCACTTGCAACCTGCTAGCCGAAAGCCTGGGCTTAGGGCTTAGGGTTTAGGGTGGGTCTCCTCCAGCTTGGAGACTCATGGGACTTACTAGAATTACTAGAACTACTTATAACTGGATAGATTCCTACTTATAGTTGGGGTAACCTACGTGCATCCTCAGGGGAACTCTTGCGTGTGCCTAAAAGCCAGGGCCTAAACCCACGCCCCTAAAGCCCTAAACCCTGCATCCCAAACGCTAAAACCTAGACCCCTAAAGCCTAAGCCGTAAACCCCACGCCCTGAAAAACCCTAAATCTAGATATCTTTGTGGAGACATGTCCATACAGGTGCCCATCCTCTTTTCAACATGGGCGTCTCCATGATTAAGAGACCCTTCCCCATAGCCTACGCTCGAGAATCCTTGGTCAGGAAGCCATGAGAATCTCAGCATGCTCGACTGCAGCCCAGGCACAAAGTACATCTTGTCACCATTTGCTCCAGAGTGGAAAAGCTCCTCCCCAGCTGCTTATGTCTGAGGGGTAATATTAGGGGTATATTGGGGTTATATTGGGATAATGGAAAATAAAATGGAAACTACTATAATGGCTTTTATATGGATGCTTTTTTTGTAAGTCTTAGTTTAGGGTTTGGGGCACCGTGCTCAAAACAAAGGATTTCGGGGGGTTAGGGTTAAGCGGTCTGACTACTTACAATTCCCATTATTGCTAAAGTAATTCCGCAGAGCTGTGAGCCTTGGTTATGTTGCCAGGGAAATCTTAAGACTTTCTGGCAGGCCCGGTAGTCACAGCAAGAAGAAGAAGAGCAGTGACCATCAGAATAAATGGCCTAAGGCATAGGGTATAGGCTGATCCTTGGACCAAAACGGCACCAGCAAGGTCACCTCTTGAATAAGTCGGGTGTTTTCGGGATCTGGAATCAGAATGTGAATTATCTCCGCTACCCTCACACTCAGCATTCAGTTGCCGTGTACATCCCGTCAATGACGCAATGATAGTGGCTTACATTCGGCTTCCTAGCCCCTACAACCCCTAAACCCCACTTTACATGGAGGCAATCTTGCACAACCTTCTGGACCCTCGACACAAAGAATTCCAGAAGTACCGGGGCCCTACATGCTGCAAGATTTCACTCCAGCCACAAGGTCCCTAAAAGCAAACGAATGCCGAGCAGGCCTCGCCAAAAACGCTGCTGACCTCTTTCAAAGCCTCCAGACTATGTTGGTTAAGGATTCAGACGTTGACTGTAGGGTCTGATTCCGAGGGTTGAGAGTCTAGAGGTCAAGAGGGGTTGGCGCGTCTGGTTCTTCATGTGAGGATCAAAGAGTTTCGATTCAAGCTTATGGGCTTGGGGAGCTTGAAGTCAAACAAGTAATGCGCGCAGCAGCTGCTTTTTGCTAGAGCAACTGACATGACTTTGCATGTTGAGGGAAATACATGTAGCACCGCATGATGCACCATCTGAACTATCTCCGAGTTCCTGCTGGCCCAAATTTTTCAGCACAGCCTGTCTTATACACAGTGGCATTCCAGAAGTTTCGTGCGGCAGGCCTTTTGGCTACTACAAAGACTCACGTACAAGGCCCTTGCGTGTTCATTGGAGAGGCCTGGCTTAGGGTTTAGGAAATTCTGGCACCTGTGGCCTTAGGACTAATTAACCGTCTGAGGAGCCTGCAGGCATTTGCTTGCATGAGCCCCAGACCTTGAACCCTAAAACCTTTATTGGGATGTCGGGGCAGGCGCACCTTGTGGAAATGCGCGGCTGTGATCGAAAAACGAACTGCTCCCTGCTATTGCTATGCCCGTTGTTTAGGGATTAGGGTTTGGGGTATAGGTCTGACTACATAGGTTCGCATATCAAACGAACAAAACTAACATTCCGATAAATGGTCCCTACCTCAAACCCTGGGCCCGAAACCCTAAACCATGGCCCAGTCACCCTGAAGCCCTGAACCCACCCAGGCCCCCTCCTGTACCTAGTTGTCTTCGTCTTGGAATACCGAATACAAAGAGAAAATTGTGAGAAGGACAGTTGGCACCGTAGGAAGAAACTCGGGAGTCTAGGCAAGCCCTAACCCTAGGGATCCATGTAAACAAATATTACCTACATTGGGCCCTAAAGTCTGTAAATATTACCTACATTGGGCTATTTGGATCCCTAGGGTAAGCTATCAAGACGCCCTGTAAATCCACGGACCCGGTCCGTGCCTTTGAACAGAGCCGAACGGCGTCCTGATAGCCCAACCCTGCCTTTGGTCAAAGGAGTTGAGATGAACGGGTTGAGGGTTCGAGCTTACGCGCCCTAACCCCTTAAATCCCTAAAACCTAAACTCCTAAACCCTACTGAGTAGGGGCTCCGGATGTTTCAGGATTAGGGCGGCTTGGGTCTCTTAGATCCGACAGGATGCTCCAAACTGTAGGTTAGGGCTAGGGGTGTACCTAGAATGGCAGCCCCTTTCAAAAGGGCGGCAGTCTTCGTAGGGCTGCTGTGAGTCATAGTAGTATTCCGGTATTGCTACGGTGAATGGGATATCGCACTCCCCAAAGCAATGTAAGTATTGGGATATAAGCTTTCTCACATGGTGCAAGATTTCCTCCATCTAGTATTACTTCATTATAATCATCGATCAATGTAGACCCGTGATTAATAGACCCCTTCCCGTAGTTGTGTGTGTAGTAAGGATCCTACTATTAAGGCCTTTAAAAGGAGGGGGTTTTACTCATGAGTGTACACTAGTATTATCAAGATATCTTTTGTTCCGGGGTTCCATGTCAGGTGGGGCTCAGGGGATTGGGTCGGTTCGGTCTTTAATACTCAGCAGGCAAAAAAATAATTCCTAGAATTGGTTTTCCGTTTCCGACTAAGGCTTAGGGGCATTGCGGTTTAGGGGTTTAGTTTTTAGGGGGCTTTAGTGGTTAGGGGGGTAGGGGTTAAGAGCTCACGGGTTTGGAGTTTAGAGGTTAGGCTCTTGCACGGGCACCATGCTCAAATAGATTCACGCAACGGAAACCAAGCAGACTGACAGGAACCTAAATCCTTTGTCATTTCAGAGCCTTTTCACAATATCTGTATAGATAACCGCAGTACCTTCCACCCTAAGGCCTGAACTTTGCCATCAACCCTTGTGCCAATTCTCGACATGATTGGCAACTTCATTGGGGTCCTGATATTCAACATCTTGGGACCTCTCAAGTAATACCCCTTACCATTCTGAGGGATATGAGTGTGATCCGCATTTTGAGAAAGTGTGAGAATGTAGGTAGTAGATCCAAGGCTAGCGAATCTCTCGCCACTCCACTGCATTTCTGCTGGATGGCAGGGACCCGCCACCCAAGACCAGCGTATGTTCTGAACGTGACGCCCACTTCCCCTAATGCCCTAATCCTACTAAGTTGCTACCGCATAATAAATTCACGCCCTAAAGCAAAGGCCGATTTGGCTCTGCGTATTATTCACACCGCTGCGTGGGGCGGGTCGGCTGAGGTCACTAGACACAACTGCCCAATCGAAGATGCAGCGCCCAAAAAGCAGCAAAGTGGCCAAGTGCTTCAGCATGGCGTGAGACTCTAGAACAGGGATGCCGACCTGGAAGGAGATTCTAGTTCGACACGGCTCTTACCAACCTCAGTAGGGTGTTGTTCAATATGTTGGCTACTGCGAGCGTTGGCTTTCCCTTATCACTTGTCTCAAGTAATAGACGCTGAAGGTCCTGAGGAGTTGAGGGATTGGCGATGAGACGAAAGTATCCATTAAGGTTTGGAGGTCTCAGTGTTGTGGGTAGCGGATTTGGGGCTCACAGCCCAGTGAGTAGGGCTGTGCGTGCAAGGATCTGTGGGAATTACACACCGCTGTATTCCCAGAACCATTCCATAGGAGCGCGCCCTGAAGTAGCTACAACAGACAGCCTCATATGTTCCGTATGTCACTGTTGGTTCCAGTTCTTGCGCAGCCGTACTGCCCACATGATCTCAACATCAGGGGTTTCGTGTTTGTGGGTCCGTACACTACGGGAATTCCTTGCCTACACCTTCTGGCCTGAAATTTTGCGCGCGGCACTTGAGGCTTTCTCTTTGTCAAAAGAACAGTTAGCATTCCTCAACAATGACCCCGACGAAGCAAAGCCACGACAATCCAGGCAACTTCCGAACCCCACCTTTAATTCCCAACATAGGGGGAATCCAATATAGACCCCCAAAGAGAAACGATAGTCGTTATCGTGGGGACCACAGTCTAAGATTCAATTCCTCCAACAAGGCTCAAAATTCATCCCGCAACCAAACGTCTTGGCCATGTAGCCTCAGACCCTGGACACTACACAAGTTCAGGTTTGGGTTTAGGGTACTATATAGGGGGTTACAGAGGGATAATGGAAAAGGAAATGGAAACTATAGGGATTATGGGGATTATATAGGGATTATATAGTGATAATGGAAAAGAAAATGGAAGCTACTATTTAGGGTTTTGGGTTTAGCATGTCCCAACGAGGCCTCCTGTTGCAGGTCACTGAGGAGCTTTCCAGGCAGATTCCTGGTACAAGTTGCATCGTGCAGATTCAAAAGTTTTCGCGCATGAAATCCTAAGCCCTATATAACCCACTATAGTAGTTTCCATTTTCTTTTCCATTGTCCCCAAGATGCGATAATCCCAATATAACGCCTATATAACCCCTACAATGCCTGTACCTTATTCCAAACAGGGCCATGAATATGAAGATTCCTGACTCGAAGTTTTAACGCGCAACCCCTATATCTATATGGGTATATGGGGTGTATATAGGGAGAATGGAAAATGGGAACCAATATTGAAGGTTTAGGGTGTAGGGTCTAGGGAATGGAGAAATAGCAAGCTTCCATCTGTCGCTTTTGTCCTAAGAGCTCTCCACCCATCTGTGATTGAGAAAACCTCATGTGCCTGTGGGCCCATGTCGCGGCTGCTGTCAG